ATTTTCTCCTGTTTTCATCCACGTTGGAATTTATTACACTGCCCCACACAAACAGAAATGTATTCTGATGTAGAGAGAAACAAATTCTAAGAGATTTTGTTTGAACAATAATTTCTTACACCATCCCATATGAATGAATTCCAGTCTTCTTCATGAAAAAAGTATATTCTCGTGTTTTCATCCACGTTGGAATTTATTACACTGCTCCACACAAACATGAGTATATTCAGATGGAGTGAAAACCATATGATAAAGAGATCTTGTTCGAAAAATAATTTCTTACACCACCCCACATGAATGGATGTGAGTCTACTACATGAAAAATATATATTCTCGTGGTTTCCCTCACGTTGGAATTTATTACACTGCCCCACACAAACAGAAATATATTCTGATGTAGATAAAACATATCAGGTATTAGAGATTTCATTCGAATAATAATTTATAACACCACCCCACATGAACGAATTTTAGTCTACTTAATGAAAAAAGTATATTCTCGTGTTTTCAGTCACGTAAGAATTTATAACACTGTCCCACACAAACATAAGAATATTCAGATGAAGTAAAAACCATATTATAAGAGATCTCGTTCGAAAAATAATTTCTTACACCACCCCACATGAATGGATTTCAGTCTCCTTCATGAAAAAAGTATTTTCTCGTGTTTTCATCCACGTTGGAATTCATCATACTGCCCCACACAAACAGAAAGGTATTCTGATGTAGAGAGACACAAATTCTAAGAGATTTTGTTTGAACAATAATTTCTTACACCATCCTACATGAATGAATTCCAGTCTTCTTCATGAAACAAGTATATTCTCGTGTTTTCATCCACGTTGGAATTTATTACACTGCCCCACACAAACAGAAATATATTCTGATGTAGAGAGAAACATATTCTAAGAGATTTTGTTAGAACAATAATTTCTTACACCACCCCACATGGATGAATTCCAGTCTACTCCATGAAAAAAGTAAATTCTCGTGTTTTCAGTCACGTTAGGATTTATCACACTGTCCCACACGAACATAAGTATATTCAGATGAACTAAAAACCATATTATAAGAGATCTCGTCCGGAAAATAAATTTTTTAAACCACCCCACATGAATGGATTTCAGTCTACTTCATGAAAAAAGTATATTCTCGTGTTTTAACCCACGTTGGAGTTTATTACACTGCCCACACAAACAGAAATATATTCTGATGTAGAGAGGAACATATTCTAAGAGATTTTGTTCGTACAATAATTTCCTACACCACCCCACATGAATGAATTCCAGTCTTCTTCATGAAAAAAGTATATTCTCGTGTTTCCAGTCACGTAAGAATTTATTACACTGTCCCACACAAACATAAGAATATTCAGATGAAGTAAAAACCATATTATAAGAGATCTCGTTCGAAAAATAATTTCTTACACCACCCCACATGAATGAATTCCAGTCTTCTTCATGAAAAAAGTATGCACTAATTTTTTCGGTCACGTTAGAATTCATTACACTGCCCCACACAATCATAAGTATATTCAGATGGAGTGAAAACCATATGATAAGAGATCTCGTTCGAAAAATAATTTCTTACACCACCCCACATGAACGGATTTTAGTCTACTTCATGGAAAAAGTATATTCTCGTGTTTTCAACCACGTTGGAATTTATTACACTGCCCCACACAAACAGAAATATATTCTGATGTAGAGAGAAACATATTCTAAGAGATTTTATTTGAACAATAATTTGTTACACCACCCCACATGGATGAATTCCAGTCTTCTTTATGAAAAAAAGTATGCACTCATTTTTTCGGTCACGTTAGAATTCATTACATTGCCCCACACAAACATAAGTATATTCAGATGGAGTGAAAACCATATGATAAGAGATCTCGTTCGAAAAATAATTTCTTACACCACCCCACATGAATGGATATGAGGCTACTACATGAAAAATATATATTCTCGTGATTTCACCCACGTTGGAATTTATTACACTGCCCCACACAAACAGAAATATATTCTGATGTAGATAAAACATATCAGGTATTAGAGATTTCATTCGAAAAATAATTTCTCACACCACCCCACATGAACGATTTTAGTCTACTTCATGAAAAATATATATTCTCGTGTTTTCACCAATCTTGGAATTAATTACACTGTCCCACACAAACAGAAATATTTTCTAATGTATACTTTTTGAATTTGTTTTGTTATACCTACTTATCAACTGACCCACTGAACCACTTTTGTACTACTTGTAGTAGAAATTAGTCGAAACAATACTAATTTCATTGATTTCAATTAAAAAAACAAAAACGCCCCTTTCTGATTTTTTTTCTGGCGGCGCCCATGGATATTACAGCAGAACTGGTATCCTGGACACCCGGTATATATTGTATTTATTATATCAGAAGCGAACATCAATACAAAATTCAAGCTGATAATATTTCCTTACAAGATGACATCTATCCATGTTACTCGTATGTATCGTGTGATAGGCCGAAGTGGCAACGGCAACACCGGCAACAGTGTAAGAGAGAGTGTCGGGAATAGCGAATGTCGGCTTGCCGGCTTGCCGCACAGGAACCGTCTGTCGGTAGGTGACAAACGCATCGGCACGATTGTCGGAACCATTGTCGGTAGGTCGTTGATTGATATATAGGTATATTTTGTATTTCTCTTTTTGTTTGGAAGTGAATCAAGCCTTCCAGATTCTGGAACGGGTTTTTCAGTTGTTCTCGACTTTCCAGACAGGATACTTCTGAGAGATACTTATATTTTCACGAATTCTCCTAGTGCTATTGTGTGATAGTTCAGTAAATATTGTGGTACATTTTCATCATTTTTTAACATGGCACCTAAAAGAGGTCGAAAACCAGTTGTGAATGAAGAAGTTTTTCTTCAGGAGGTGATGAGTATGAAAGACAAAATTGTTATAGACTCGGTGGTGGCTGATAGACGGGATTATGTTTGGACGGAATTATCAAAAAGTGTAGATAATAAGCTAGCACCGATGTCATTCTTTGTAATGGTACAAACGAATACGTACGGAGTGAAGGACAAATTACTAGGGAAGCAATATAGTACTGAAAAAGGCCATACTTCCCAACAATTAGATTTTGATGAGAGCAAATGCTCGGATTTGAGCTACGATAAAAAAAAAATGACTCATTGAATACATCAGAACAGGAAATGACTATCGATTTTTTTATTTCTAATGATGAATTCGATAATTTAGTGGATGGAATATAAATATTACGAACAATCTAAGCCAAGGTCTAATAAAAGGATGGTTCAGAAGCGCTTATGGTGTGTATTCCGTGCAGGTATCTACCAAGATTTTTATATCAAAAAAATCTTGGAAACGACTCATCTAAAATGTGGTTTTCTTTTTCATCATTCATATGTGAACATGGCGAAATCGTCAGCTTCGGTTCAAGGTAAAGATCCCAATTTTTCTCAATATAGATACCTATTCATTAGCTTATAGATTTGTATTTTTTTCTGAAAGGGAAGGGGACGGGAGCATCTTCTGACATTATCTTGTTGTATATAGAGGATGGACCAACGTAACTTATAATAATCACTTTCCATTTTTATATTATATCCACCAATTGATTAGGGATTCTCATGGGGAATTAACTCGGGATGTTCAAAACCGGTGTGAAAATGATGTGTAATCAGAAACGGTCACCCGCGTCAGAAACGAAATATTAGGTAGGGAGACTACCTCCATAAGAATATGTACAGTATAGGTGCGGCATTAGTGCGTCTGAGCTCGATTGCTCGAGTTCTACCTATGATAGCTAGAAACTAGATTCAATAATAAATGTGAATGAGACAACAAGGTCCTTAACTAGAAGAAATTATTGCCGCATAAGTATATAGGGCGCACCGAAAAAAATCTAGAGAGTCAGGATCATTTTTTCAAATGGAATGCCATGTATATTAGCAATTTTTTGTAGCAATTCTGTGACCTCTATACAATCCTATGATATCGTTGACTATATCTCGATCATATCAAAGTTATGAATTTTTTTTGTCGAAATAATGTCATCTGCAGATGCATACCGAATAAATCACTGTCGTCACAATTATGAAATTTGAGAAACATTAATCATAATATCATTTGATGAAAAAATGCGTGATATTTCTGAAGAATTTCCATGCCCCCACAGCTATTAGCTAAATTTTCTGTCGATTGTACAATTTAGGTTAAGTGTAAGAGTAGCAATAGCTAAACTTCGCCTACTTTGTACCAAAGAAAAAATAAAGACGATTTATTATTATTATTATTATTATTATTATATACAGGGTGTTTTCGAAATTGGGGCGATGAATAAGAAGTCGGTTTATTTGAGACAAAACAATGCGATAAATCACCAGCGAAAATGTTTTTGCATTTTTTTAATTGAATGTGCGCTCCCATCCGACTCCTATCATACCATATCTTTCAAATACTATTCAAAGTTCGGCAACATTGCAAAAGTAATGGATTTTACCAGTGCCTCTCATAATATTCTTTCATTTCTTTTTTTTTTATTTCTTTTATTTATCGCCACCATTTCGGTAACACCTATGCCTAATGAGTGTTACAACCTGTCGAAGATTTTCCTGTCATTTATTGTCGTTACTTTCCTACTTCCTCACCTACATACTGCTTCGACATATCCCCATACCTTTATTTGTGGTGATAATCTTCACAGTCATCCTGATTCCTGATGTATTGTAGATCTCTCTGATATTTCACCTGAGACTAGCATACTAGCATACTAGCAATTCTTCATACCATACCAGTGATGAAGAGAATCCTTATTCAAGCTTAATCTCAAATGTTCATTCTAATTTGTAGCATCCTGTAAATGTGCTAGTACACTTAGATGTGAAATAAGAAAATTCTCAAAATTCGAAAATTACAAATTGGAGTGCAAATTCGTATCTGGTACCGGAAAATGTGGGAAACCTTATTTACGCCGACCAGTGCGGCATGAAATGGGTCAGGATTTGGGAGAAAAACATGTGGAAGCTTATCGATCCCAACAAGCTAATATTCTAATGACAAGAGAAAATGATCCTGAAGCTCCAATTATTCGCTCAGCACCTATACTGTACAACGTGAAAAGTGAATTTTTGCAGAGTCAATACATCGCAAAAGATCTTTTGGAAGCTTTGAAAATAATGAAATATGGCGATTGTGTAAATTGCATCGATGATATTGGCTATGATCCCTTTTTTGTGCAATATTCCACGAATGCATCACTTCAAACGTACAAAAAACTATGCGCAAAACCTGGTAAAACTTGTGTGAGCATAGACAGTACAGCAGGGGTGGTGAAAAGACTGGATGTGAAAAGAATATTTTTACATGCTGTAGCACTCGGCGTTCCAGAAGGACAGTTTTCTATCACTCATATGCTATCGGAAGTTTCACACACACAAGCCATATGTAACTGGTTGATGATGTGGCGAAGGTTAAGAGCTCCTGTCCCAGACGCGTGCACTACTGACTGGTCGAGAGCATTATGAAATGGCACTACCCTAGCCTTCACCAAGTATGAAACCATCGAGGAATATGCAGATTCATTGGATACATATGATTTTTCCTCAGTGAAGACATTCATTCGTTTAGAAGTGGCACATACGATGCATAAATATTCGACATTTTGTCGGCAGTTGAGAAAACCTGTCAAGACTTTTTATTTAGCGTGCGTTGGTCGAATAATTGAGAGCTCTTCGAAATCAGAAGCCCAGAATATCATAGAGAAGATTCTGATAGTTTCTTTATCAGAGACTGAGGGATATACGAAAATGGGCGAGGTGACACCTTGTGAGAAGGCAAAGCAAGATTTGAAAATATTGATTTACGCAGGTATGTCATGGTTCTTGATTCATGTATATATTGTAACCGCCCAGATTTGGACGAATTGGTTCGTCCTCCCCAGCCTTGAGATCACAATGTCCCTCGACACAGTCTAATTATCATGATCGTTATACAAGGTGAGTCAGTTTTTCGTAGCAGGACTTCAGCAGCTTGAAGCAGAAATTTTTTCAAGATGAAAATCTTCTATAAACATATATGCGTAGGAGCTTCGTTTCCGATATACAGGGTTTCAAAGTTTGCGTGACCCCAAAAGTGTATCATCCTGTAGGTATTCAAGAACGTTCGATAGCCCCAAATATTGCGTTTCCAAAGTATATCAGGTGTTGTATTTAGAGATATACTTGAAATATGTATCATCATCAAGTGGCAACCCTGTCTAGTTTATGACGAGTGTCCTGTGTCACTTGAGGAGAGGGGTTTTGTCAATTGTCAGAAGTGACGACTCAAGCATTAACCATTATTAATTTAACTCCAGAGTTGTACTTGTACCAATAAATGAAAGTCAGTAAATATGAATATTATTTAGTAAATATTGATACTTATAAGAAATATAACATGGCGCAGTCGGTAGGTTGTCGGTAATGGGTTGGCAGAGACATAGGTTCATACCAAATTTTTCAGAATTGACAAGTCCTGTAAGAGAATTATTAAAGAAGAAAAGTCACTTCCAGTGGCTTCCATGTCATGAGAAGGTCTTTGAAAAAATTAAAAGCATTTTAAGTTCCAGACCTGTAGTAGGTAATTTTGACCCTGACAAAAAAATTGTTATTGAAACTGATGCATCTCAAAATGGGTTGGGTTGCACATTGCTTCAGCAAAATAAGCCAATATACTATGCATCACGAAGTTTTACAGACACTGAAAAGTCTTTTTCACAAATAGAAAAAGAGTTTTTGGGAGTTGTATTTGCCACTCAGAAATTTCATTATTTCATTTATGGGAAACCTGTAACCATAATTACAGATCACAAACCACTTTTGGGAATTATGAACAAAAATATCCTGCAAATTTCATCAGCACGATTACAACGAATGAAACTTAAACTTTTCAAGTATAACATCAACTTACAATATCGACCAGGCAAGACTTTATATATTTCAGATTTGTTGTCTAGGTCATTTATTAAAGAAGTAGTGGACGATGACCCTGAGTTGGTTGATATCATTCATTCAATTGAAAAGCATCTGTCAATTAGTCCCAACAAAAGGGAAGAGTTTCAGAAAGAAATTATGAATGATCAAGAATTAAGACTAGTGATAAATTATGTAGAAAATGGGTGGCCCAAAGTTGTTAAATCCATTCCATATTTTGTAAGGCCATATTGGCCTCATAAAGAAGAGATAGCCTTTGTGAATGGTTTGCTGTTCTTAAATGATCGTTTAGTTGTACCCAAATCTTTAGTAAATAAATCTTCAGTTACTTCACGAGAATCACATGGGTATAACCAAGACTAGGTTGAGGGCAAAAGCAAATTTGTTCTGGCCAAAAATGGCCATTGAGATTGAAGATTTCATAAAAAAATGTAAAGTTTGTGAAAAGTACCGATGCAATAATATCAAAGAACCAATGATTCCTCACTCTATACCTGGGAGGTCATTTCAGAAAATTGCTAGTGATATATTAGAGTATGGTAGAAAATCATACATAGTGGTTATAGATTATTTCTCACGTTGGCTAGAGGTTTTTCCAGTAACAAATAAAACATCAGAAAGCATTATTGAAGTTTTGAAAGTATTGTTTGCAACTCATGGTATACCTGAAGAATTTATTTCTGATAATATGCCTTATAGTTCACATAATTTTGAACAATTTGCAAAGGATTGGGTATTTTGTTTGATTACGAGCAGCCCATATTATCCAAAGGCTAATGGGTTGGCAGAGAAGGCAGTGGCAATAGCAAAAAGTTTTTTAAGAAAAACAACTGACTTATCTTTGAGTCTACTAGAATATCGAAATACTCCTGTCACTGGTCTAGAGTTCTCCCCAGCCCAACTGTTGATGAATAAAATGTTGAATTCAAAATTACCTATGTCTAGCAAAACCTTGGTGCCCAATAATGGTGATATCAATTATAAAAACATTCAAAGAAAAATAGAAAACAAAAGAAATCTTGATGAAGCATATTATGATAGAAGTGCCAAACATGTGGGAGAAACGATAGATAACTCGACCAGCAATATTGAACTGAAGTCTACAATGGCAAATCCTCCTTCCGGCACATCAGAATTACTTGAATCACTGGTAAGTATGATTTGTTGCATACAGTTCCCAATATCGTTATTTTTGATAAAGCAGTTGACCAAATTTATAATTTAGGAACCTTTCGAATGATGATCATTTCACAGGGTGATAATATTTTATCATGTCTATTTGAAGTATCTCGAAAACAGAAACAGATTAATTTCTTAATTCTGATTTGAATTTTCTATCCTTATAATATATACTCTTCGAATGTCGCTGACGTGTTTAGTTGATCTGCACTTTTTAAGATAACAGTCTAATGAGATGCAATTAATAATCTCGTTCCATTCTTCTGAGCAGAGACTTCTTTAACGCTACCTGTTCAGTTGATATATAAAACATGATATTCATTATTTGAGTCATCAGTATGACAATGTTGAATTCAAGATCAACTAATGCGGAGAGCATCTTTTACCAAAGTATCTCTTTTTTCATCTACTTGTCACTGAAACGTGTAAATCGATTGAACACAAAAGCGACACACTTGTTTCATGTTTGAAACTGGGCCATATTTTGTTTACGAAATGTCCAGAGCTGAGTTTAACAGTATTTTTTTACAATATTATCATATTGTACTAATATTCTTTGAAATCAAAAGTGAATTTTGTTCTGATTTTCAGGAAACCCCTGGTGTAGAACAAGTGATGAAATCAAACTATAAAGACAGGATGGACTTCTGTATATTTTGTGATAAAGATGTGAGTCATTTTGCAAGACACATGTATACATGGCATGAACAAGAATTTATTATTCAAAAAATTCAAGCTCTGAACAAAAATTCTCCAACAAGAAGACAACTATCATGTGATTTGAGGAAAAGAGGAAACTTCGTCAAGAACAAAATAAAAAATGTGAAACTGAGGCCAGTAAAAAGACTTGAAGCTGCTAACAGTACAAATCTAATATCTTCGGATGATTTTCTTCCTTGTCCACACTGCTATGGATTCTATAAGAAAAACAGTCTTTATAGACATTCGAAACTATGTCATAAAAACAAGGATCCAGGTAGGAGACAAACCGTCCAAAGTGATGATCAGACGACATTATTATTGAGTTCACGGCATAAACATCAGGAATTATTGAACACTGTGTTATTTCCCAGAATGAAAGCTGATAACATATCTCTTATTGCTAAGTCAGACCCTTTGATATGCAGTTACGAATACTCGTACTTGAAGGGTAGAAGAAGCAAAGGAAATTTTGATTTGGTGAAGCAGAACATGAGACGTTCAGCTAAATTACTGAAATTTGCCAAAGAACGAAAACCAGATATGAAGCACATAATGGATGTTTTACGGCCATGTTATTTTGAGTTGGTCATTTCTGCTGTTAACGAAATGGCACTTTACAATCACGAAACTGAAAAATATGAGTCACCCACTCTGGCTTTGAATTTCGGCACACTTCTGGAAAAATGTTGTGATTTAGCGTTTATTCAGTTGTTACAAGAGCAGAATACTGACGCCCGAAGAAAAGACATGATGATATTGAAGAAGTTTCTGCTGAAGCAGCTACAAATCTTAATGATAACAAGTGGAATAAGAATGAGTTATTACCACTTACTTCAGATTTGAAGAAATTGAATATTTACTTGGAAGAAACTGTTGAAGAATCATTCAAGTCATTGAAGAATAACGAAACAGACAAGATGGCCTACACCACATTGAAGGAAACCTTATATTCAGGAATTATTTTGTTGAATAGAAGAAGACCGGCAGAAGTTGCTCAACTAAAAGTGCAAACTTATCAGTCCATAGATTTAGATCATCGCGACAAAAATTGAGAATTCCAAAACACTTATAGCCGTTTAGTGATTAGAGGTAAACGAGGAAGAGGCGTTCCAATTATATTGTCACCTAATATGAAGAAGCATCTCGATTTGATAGTGAAAGTGAGAAATAATTTTGCACAAGGTAATGATTATATTTTTCACTCTGGTGGAGAAAGATGTATTGATGGTACCAAGGTTTTATACAAATATGCTCAAAAGTGTGGTGCAGAGCGCGTCAAAAGCATTTCGGCCACAAGATTACGAAAACATTTGGCAACTATAACTCAATTATTACACTTTTCGAATAATGATTTAGAACAACTATCAAAATTCATGGGACACACTCGCAAAACTCACTGCGATGTATATAGGATGTCAGATGAAATGTATCGAACAGCTAAAGTTTCAAAATTACTTTTGCTCATGAGAGAGGGTGGAGCAGAACAATTCAAAGATAAAACTCTGGATGAAATCAACTTTGATATGACTCCAGTAACCGATGATAACGATTTAGAAGGTATGACTACTGAAATTGAAAGTGAGCATGTAGATGTAATCATGGATGAGACAATGACAAGTAAATCACAATCTGTGCCATCTGGTTCCGGAATCCGAGATGTTGAGCCTAAATGC